GGGTTTGCAGCCTTTTGGAGTAACGGCCACCTGCTATGGAGATGTCAATCCATTCCCTAAACTTCCAGAGTGCCTCAAGACCACACATCGCACCACAAAGTCCTCTTGTGAAAAAAAAAAAAAAAAAAAAAAAAAAAAAGGTAGAAAGCATCTACCCAGGTGAGTCGCCAAGACCAGACACCTCCACTACTGGGCAGCTCTAACTCCAGTCACCGTGTTTTCAACCCTACTTGGAGTCAGTCTTTTGTCACAAAGTCAGACAAAACCTTAAATTTCTCCTGTCACTTCAGGAATAAATCTTAACAGGAATGAAAGAACTGATCAGTTACAAAAAAAAAAACAAAAAACCCCACACCAAACCAACCCAACACCCAGGCACTGTTGAATTAATTCCAGTATTGTATTTTGCAGCCAGATTTCTAGGAAATGTTGTGAATAATCCAAGTAATTCAGTGGGGCTTTGGTTTTATTTTTTTGTTTTGTTTTCACATAACACAGCGGCAAGTGGAATTTCAGTTCTGTACCAGAACCCACTGAAAGCAGAGGTGTTCATTTTATTATAGGCTTCTGATAGACAGTTCTCAGAAATAAAAGCCTGCAAGAGACCTGCAAGCCATCGCCTCTGGCTCTCCGTAGATAGCAGTAGTGCATCTCCTGCTGGCAAACCAAGCATGTCATCAGGGGAAACCCATTACAAAAGGATTTGTTTTACAAAGATATTTAGATTAATATCCTAGTTAGGCAAACAATTCCAAGATAGATAAGGACAATTTTTATTTATTTTTTTTAAAAAAAAGAAAGGGAAAAACCCCACAGCACACATACCACACTGAACTGCAAACTGAAAAACAAAAACAAGCAGATAAAATATATCCAAGCATCCCAAGCCAGACTGGAGCCTTGGGGCCCTTCAATACAACTGCAATTTATTGTGCCAGCAAAACCAATTAATAAGTCAGAGCAGACAAGCAGTGAGGGATTTGGTCTAGAAGGCAAAATAAAAAAAAAAAAAAAAACAACAAACCCTAAAAATTTATGTTGAAATGTCTGTCGAGGCAGCTTTAAAACAATGCAACAATTCAGATATCCCCATCTCCATAGCGGGACGCCTTCCTTCAGATTGTTTGCAAGAGGAACTAGAAAACCTTGAGATTTCTGTCTTAGCAGGGTAAGTTCTTGGGTCAATTAAAAAGCTCATCATGCATTGGCAGAATTTTATCACTTGCAGCTCATACCAATGCCTTTACAGCTAATCCACTTGTAGCAGACACTGGATACTCCCCCCACACCCCCACGGAGCGGGCAGGAGGCTGAGAGCCAAGAGACAATGTGGGGCTTGATGAGTAAGTTATTCTGAACATTGATTACCGAGCTGCATTTCATCAGGACTCCAATTATATTCAGTTTTTTGGATCGAGTCTACACAATCATCTCATTAGTCGCTCGAATTTGCCAGGAAGAAAACTCATTTGACAAAACAACCCTTGCTGAAGATTCAGGCAACAAATACACACACACACAGGGCGGGCAGAGGGACCCTAAACATTCCTGAGCTATGCCAGATTTTGTTCCTTTATTTGTGCAAGAAGCTTGTTCCAGACTCCAAAGAATGAGTAAAAACCATGGGTTTTCATCAGCAAGGTGTGTCACAGGTCAAAAAACCCTCAAAACATGGCCAACAGCTGCCACCACACGCTCCATCAGAAACTTCTAACTGGACACACACAAACTTATTTCCTTATTTTTCCTCTTAATGTTGCTTCCACAAAGCAAGCTACCAGACATTTGGGTTTTTTCCCCAGTCATACTGCATACATTGACCTTCTGCAATGCACTAAAGGCCACAACAGTAGCTTTCAGTCAAGATTTTCCCCACTGAGAGGGAAAAAACAGAGTATGCTAGAAACTGGAACTTGTAGCTAAAGATGAGCTCCTTTGATTAACTTTCCAGATTTTCAGTCAGTTTAGAAGTTAATAGACAAGCTGGTACATAGCTGGGACCATAATAACCCTCTGAATTTCCAGAATAGTCATATGTGCAGGTCCATTCACTAGAAAATCCTTCCTGGGTTTTCCTCATCTCCTCAGTAATTAACAGAGCTACAAAATTAGTAAATACTTCAGAAAGCTTTTATAAACAGTAAACATCCAGGACGTTCTTACAGAGCACTGTTTGGTGCTGCAGCCAAGATTACTCTCACTACAACGGTTCAAACTGAAGTCTCGATTTTGAAGTTTTAACATTGCTGCAGCTGCTGTTGAGAAGACAACAAGGGTAAGGAAAAAAAAAGTTAACTGGCAAAGACAGACACAGTCTCTGAACGGAGCCTCAGATATGGTCAGAAACAAAAACATCCCAATTAACTAAGGATACAGAAAACCATATGTATATGCAAGATCTCAGGAGTCGATAAGGAAAAAGCTCAACTGAGCAATGGTATCGAAAAATGTTTCTCTACTGAGAAAAGGGGAAAAAAAATAAACTCTAAGTATTACGGGAATCAAAGGAAGAGGGGTTGTTTTGGGTTTTTGCTTTGCCCTCCCCCAGACAGCTTAGTGGATTTGTTTGGTTTTTTTTATTTTAAAGGTGGGGCAAGAGCATCTCTTGGTCTCCATTATGAACTGACAGATCCAAACAAGTGGGGCCAAGAAAGAGCTTAATTATTACGTAGCTCCATTTCAAAATGGGTAGTTTCAAAACTATGCAAAAAGGTAACTTCTTCCTCTGTGGTTTCCTCTATCCCCAAGTCAGTTTTTAGGTAATTCTTCAAGAATCAGAATGAAATTTCTGTACAGAGAGAGCCAAAGCACCACCTTGCAGAGGGATGTGAATATTCACATCCCTCTCGAGACGTGCTGTCCGTATATTTTCTGTACGGAAACACAGGAGCTCTCAGTTAAATCAGGCAGCAGCAGGTGACTCATCACTCAGCAGCAACTGAACTTTTAAAAAAGGTCAGTCTGCAATGAGGAACAAGAATGACAGCAGATTCGAGCATGAAATAACCAAGAAATTCACTGTATTTTCAATCGCAATTAATTCAGCACTCGGTACTGCACGCAGGCTGAAAAGGAACTTGCAAGTAACTTTCTCTCCTTCCCCCAAACCGTGCAGAAACATAAGAGGAAAGAGAAACATCCACAGTTTCATTAAGTCCTTAATGGTACCTCTAAGGTCTCCTTAAGACAAAGGAGGAAGATGAGTAATAACACAAATAGACCAGAAGTAAATGCTCACTGCCACGACACCAGATTGCGTATTTCATAGGAGAGTTTTGCCCATGTAATGCCGTATCTACAGAGAGGTGTTCAAAAAACATCCAGAGATCTGCTGGTTTAATGTTGGGTTTTTTTTGGACAGTTTGAGGAAGACGAGCCATTGAGTCCTGCAAGGGGGCATGTAAAGCCTTTCCATATAAGATATCAGGACTGATAACCACATTTATGTTCCCTGTGGCAGGTGGGCTTGGGACTCCAAAAGGAGGTGACTCCAAAAGACAACTACCTTTATCCTCCCTCCAAATCACAGAGGCATTTCTCCAAGCCTTTACCAGCCACTCAGCCCGAAGCTGAGGGTTTAAATCCTCTCTCCAGGTCCCAGCTTGGATCACCTTCTTACATTCCCAGTCCTCCAAAAAGCACCAAGAAGCCACGAGCAAGCCAGGAAAGGTGGGAGCAGAGCTACACACACCTCATGCCCCACGTGCACTCAGAAAACCTCCCTGAGGTCAGACATTAATTTCTGCCCTTCCGCAACTCCCAGTCTTCAGAAAAAAAAAAAAAAAATGGACCTCTTGCTAGATACGACAGTATTCCCTTCCAGTTTCACCCTTTTACTCCTAGAAACTAGCTCCGTCTAAGGCTTTGAGAGAAGGCGGGTGAGCCGGCGCCAAAGGAAGCACAGTCGATAGCCATGCTGGATCTACTGCAGCTGACATCTGGCAGACATTCAGCTTCCCTCTTCCAGATGTTCACCTAAGACTTGGACCTCTGGAACAAGAGAGATGAGCCTTGTGACAGCTACAAGCTGTCAAGGCCTAAATTACTGGAGAATTTTAGTTTTCTGCTCTTACTCAGTGGGTTGAGCGCACTGCTGACAACAATGACAACACTGAGGAAGCGGGTTCGATTCTTGCTCGGTCCCCATGTGTTGCCTGGTCTAGTCCAGAGGTGGCGTCCCTGCCCATTACAGGGAGGTTGTATTAAATAATCTCTAAGGTCCCTTCCAACCTAGGCCATTCTATGATTCTATGAAAGCCCCAAATACTCCAAGCACTGCAACACTCTCAAGGGCAAAGAGCCCCAAGGCCCTTAGAGACTACATGCTGAAGAGGCTGGTCTAGAGTTGAACTCTCAGGATGATCTCTCCCTGACAATCCTCACCAATGCCGTTTCTCCAAAACCAGAAGAGAAGTTGGGACTTCACTGCTCTTCCAGTTGTACAATACTTTGGCCCTCTGTCATTACAATAGCTGAGAACTCAGCCACCTTTGTTGAGGCAGATGATATAAGTTTCCAAACGCCACAACTTAATCTTGCTTCAAAGAAAAATATGTCAGAGAGCCCTTTGCCCTAAAAGATGCGTTTACCAGAGCCATCCCACATTTGCCTGATGCTCTTGGCAGGATGTCTCCAAAGGGATCCGACACCTACACATGATCTCCACTCCGGAAAAAGACAGGCAAATGCACCTGCCAACACATATTACAGGAAAATATCATGGAAGAACTTGAAAAACAAGTAGCCACCCAGAATTGTCACTGATGACAATGTGAAGATGATTATTTACTGCTTTGAATATCTAGAATATCTACAGGATTTAAAAACGCTGAGTGTGCTTCCAGCACAAGATTACACAACCACCAGGCAAGACTCTCTTCGCTTGCTGCTTAAGCTAAATGGATTTTTCTGTCACCCTGTTCAAGCTCCCAGGTAACCCTGTAGTGCAGCTCTTCCTTCAGTAAGGTGACACTATGCATAAAAAGTCAAATAATACTTGCCACTTTCTTCAAAGAAGTATCCATTTCTTGACATCGCTGCTGGTGGAGACTCTAAAAAGAGGAAAAAAAAGAAAAACATCAAGGTAATGAACATCTTCGCCTCACTGCTAAACTCACTGTAAACCTGGATTACAGCAGAAAGCCAGCCTTGGAATACTGCAGGCATCAGATTTTCCTCAAGGGAGCAACTTCAACTTTTTGTTTACTGACTTTAGCATTTACCAGAATATCCTATACAGTCACATTCGCTGCTTGGAAAACAAAGTTAAGCAGTCTCAGACATCCTGGGCTGATACCCAGCAAGACCAAAGATCAGAACAAGCCAGATGATCTCAATGATCCACCAAACCAAAAAATAATACAAGCTGAGCACCTAGAAGGCTTTTATAAAAAATACAAGCCCTAACGAAATCAAAGTTTTAGCTTATGCTCAGACAAAAAGAATCAGCTTAAGTTAGAAAAGCCACAACTCAATTTAGACCAGAATGGGATTTCATATCCTATTCTGCTGCTCCTAATCATTAGGATATCCCAGAACAGTGCTTGGCACTTGAAGATAAGCACCAGAACACCGTAGCCTTCTTTGGCCTGCTTCCTGAGCAAACCCCATCTGCACCAACAGGCTCTCATGAGGAAACCACAAACGGGGAAAAAACGCCGACCACGAGCAAACCCACAAACGCAACAGCACCAGGACCGAATCCCCACTACTCCTTCTGGAGCACACTTTCTTCGTTTAGCGAGTCAGTTCTGCAACAAGAGCGCTGACAAATTAAGTATTTACCATTTGAAGAGATGTTCAAACGGCACAGGAGCATCTGCTTTCAGGTGCGATCAAAAGTCTAGTCCCCAAACCCGGCCTGACTGGTTTTAATACGAACAGGATTTGACAGTTCACACCATGCAGGCTGGAAGCACCAGCTTTTCTGTACAGGTGCATGCTCTGTTTTACCGTGAGATAACAGAGTTCTTTATTTCAAGCCTTAAGCAAGGAGTCACCCAAGCAGTCCTTTAGAAAGTTGCTACTAGGTGCTGCCTCTTCACAGGCTTCTTCCCAGCCAAAATGTAATCAGACAGAGGAATAGATTTGCTCTGTCTTTCCCCACTTCATTAGGCTAATCAAACATTACCTACGCAAGCCTGGGATGAATTCGGGCCAACAAGGAAAGAGGTTTTGCCTGCTTTATTGTTCTACAGATTAGGCTTCCTGCTTTTCGTTTGAGGTATGAAAGCCTTTCCCAAAGACCCTTTTCTCTACCCCATAACTTTTGGCTTACAGGTTATAGGCCTTTTTTCTTTTTTTTTTTCTTCCTTTTTTACAGCATGCCACGTTTTCAAACCTCATCATTCATCCTGGTCTACAGGGAGCCTTTGTGCACCGGACGGATACAAGTCACACCACTGACGGCAGGACCTTCCAGCCCTAACGCTTGTCACAGCCCAGCGTGGCTCAGACCTTCCAGTGCAGACAGCATTTGGCTGCAGAGGTTCCTGGAGGGAAACCCTGACGACCATTTAAAAAGAAAAAACAAACCACCACAGAAACCCGAGGGCAATTCAAGTGTCTGGTCCAAAAGAGAAACACAATGTTCCAAGTTCATCCCAGAACAATGGGCTGGAGGAACAAACGCACCGTGGCCAAGGGGCACCCATTACACGAGTCAATTGTTTCCCTCCACCTGGAAGGGAAGGAGAAGATCCATCCAGACTGATTAGCATGCTAATGATCAAAGGAAAGTTTTTCAGAGAGGCTCTTATTGTGTCATGATTGCATTTACGTATTTCAGAGAAACAAACAAAATATGCCTGTCAGACACAGTACCCAAGGTCCTGACATTCCCACCAAGATGGTTTATCAATTCTTTATTTCTGTTTGGGCTTCTGAGCGAGCATGAAGCAGCACGTTCACCCTTCACTAGACAAAATGAGACACTTTTTGTTAACTAAACGCACCTATCTGATCATCTTTAAGGACTCTTCCACCCCAAACCATTCTTCGATTCTATGGGTTGATAATGTCCAACGAGCGAGTTGGTAATTCCCGACTTGAGAGTTGGTTGCTTTCTTCGTTAGAAATACCTTTTGACTGCCCCATCGCCTGGGCTGACATGGCAACTCTAACTCTACGGCAGACTCTGGTTTGGTCGCTGTTTTCACAAGGCGTGAAAAGGACAAGGCTGGGGCATTCCAGCAGGCAGTGCCATTTCATTAGGTGGAAGTCACTAATGAGCCACAGTCCCCTAGGCAACATGCTCAGGCAGTTATGTTGGAGGTGCTGTTTTTTCAGATGAGTCATAAAACTGAGGTCTTAACCTCGTAATTAAAGATGCAATGGCACGTTTGGGAAAAAAAGAAAAGTCAGGCGTTCACCCTACTATGTCCTGGCTAAAGTCCAGCCCTGGTAATTTGTCTTCTCCCTCCATATCGCTGTCCCATGGCACCAAAACAGTCTTGCTGGAGCCTTTTGGAAAGTTGCTGCAACCCCCACGGAAAGGGCTATGCATATTAACATCAGGAATGGTGTGTAACGTGCCCAGGAGGTAAAAGGTGATGGGGTGTTTACACAAGTTCAGAAACAGACACTGAGCTTTGGGACTAGCTTAAAGTTCAACTCATTAGCAGAAGTGGAGGTAAGGAGGGTAAATTGGGGGCAACACCACCTGCATCTCCACGAATCTAGAGAAAGGGGCATCCACCAAACCGAGCACAATCAAGGAGACAGATTTGGGGAAAAGCATGACTGATATCTTTCTTCCTTATGCATCAGCCCCCTTCTCCTTGTATTTCCACAATCAATTTAGCACAGGCAAGCCCAGCTTATGCTCATGGGATGCTAGCTAAGGACAAGACCAGCTGGACTGAGCTTAAGTGCATGCTCAGTAGCAGTCAGCAAGGCAAGCAAATCAGCAGGCTCCCTCCTTTCAGGAGGCTTATGAGATTTTAATATTCAAGGTCTTGGCTCCTTAGTCATCTTCTGCTGAAGACGGGAGCAATAGGTTCGAGCTGTGCAGAACTGACAGCAAGGCAGAGCTCTTTCTTCTCTAGAAATAAGGTACATACCCATGGCCTGATGCACACACACCAACCTGTATTTCCCCTCCCCAGCTCGCCTCCACTCTTGAAATTAAAAGAGCTCAGCCAAGGGGCAGTTATAAAACACTGCAGTAATTGATGCAAGTGTTTAGCTTAAGGAAACCCGAGAAGTCTCTAAATACATTAGAGATCAACCTTACAGCGCTCCAGGGTTTGCTTCAAGTGGCAGAAGTGCTGCCACAAAGCATAAATCAGTCCCTGCACTAGCCTTTGTAGGCTGGAGGAGAAGACCTACAGCCTGGGGAGCACCAGGGGAGTTCCCCCTCTCCACATCAGCCCATCACATCCCTCAGATCCACCAAAGCCATGTTGCTTGTTCCTTTCCTCCGGTTTTCTTTCAGAGTTTTCAACTGAAAAAAAAACTTAATCTAAGCAAAGCAATTTCAGCAAGGCTCCTAGAGACAACTCTGGAAAGCATTACCCTAAGGAGCTAAGATACACACCACAGTTACTCACTCTCATGCCTCTAGTATCTCCCACCGAGAGGTCCGTGTCCTCACTTTGCTTTCTAATCCAACACCTACAAGGACAATCACTCTCCAACTGCTCTCCCTGTCCAAAAGCTGAACGAGATGCCACCTTGCACTATCAGCCAAAAAGAAGGTGGTGTAGCTTTTTTGACAATAAAAGTAGTGCTCCTGATTTTTAAAAAGAGTTTATTTACTCCAGCAAATGGGTTTCTATTGCCATCCCACCTCATTCCCTACCTGGATGTCTATTAGATGAGACTAAATTGGACAGGCATTAGAAGTGTCACCACTTGGTTGCTTTTTCAAAGGAAAGCTCCTGACTAGCTTCTCATCCCTTTATGAGCACTGAATTCAAAAGATAAAAGTCAAGAGCTGAAGCACTGAAGTGCTGCAAAATGGAAACCAAAGTCTATTTCTCTAAACTCAGTGACACAGCTAAAGATTTCAGAAGCAAGCCACTGCCCTTCGACTTGAAGCAACGGCAGTGACCTCAAAAGCCACCAAGGTGGAGGTTCACAAAGTTTGCTTCTTAACTGGTAGGACAGCCAAGTTTGCTGAAGCTTAAGGTGCTTGGTTTTAGGATTAGGAGGAACCAGATGATCCACAGCAGGAAGTATCAGACAAGAAGTGGGTGTACTTCCTCATTTCTTACATTCTTAGCATTTTTACATTTACATTTAACAACAAAACCAGGCAAAACCCCACCATGCCATCCTCCATTATTAAATTCCTGTGAGAAACGTGTTTGGGATCTAACAACCCATTTTTAACTCTCTTGTTTTAAGGTCAGTAGAAAGTTCTCTTGAGCCTTGCAATATCAGTGGATTACAAATAAAAACACATTCTCTGGATACTTTGGTAACTCAATTACAATGTTCTTCTGCTGGCATCTCCCAAGTAAACAGCATTCTCTGCAGTACAAGCCTTACACTAAAGCAAAACATAGCTCTCTAACAAGCTTCCTACACACGGTACTTCAGCTTTTATGACTTCACTCCACTAAATCTCTCCAACTTCTAGTGTCCTGATATTTAACTGGAGCTTACTTTGAGACAACACCATTTTGAAAGAGTTATTGGAAAAGTACTTTTTCATTTACAGCTTGCTCTTGGGTTGACACCAAACACAGGCAGCCTGTACATCTGGAGCATTTAGTTACCCCAGAAGTATTGACCAGAAAAAGTTTGATTCCTTCACTATCTTTCAATAGGGTGTACGCCAATATCTCAATTTCCCCCACCGACTTCAACATGGTTTTGCTAGAGCTCTGAGGACATTTCCAAAACTCATCGGCACATGCAACATCTTGCCATAAAGTGGATAAAGAAAAACACCTGAGCCCCTGAGCAAGAGGTTACAACAAAAACAACAAAACCAACCAACCAAATCACTTGTTCACCTGAAAAAGCCCTTAGACTTCCCTAATTTCCTCCCAAGAGGAATTGCCAATTCTCAGTGTGACAGACTGAACTACTCAGTTATATCTGGAAAGAAATCTATTTTCCAGAAGATATGCAGGGCTTTAGCTTTGAAGCAAGGCTTTGGCCACTTCAAGCTAACTTTGAGGCGTCTATCAGTCAAGGCTAATTGTCCATCACTACCATTAAAGTAGTTGGGCACCAGCTTCTCTGCAATATGGAGAACATTGTAGATGGAAGCACTACCTCAAAACAGATTTGGGAGCAAGGCCAGCTTAAAGAAAAGTCCCATCCAAGGCTTAAATCTGGAGGAAGGTGACCAAACTACCACCACCCAAGGCTCCACCAGACCTGCTGTTCAATAGGAGACTCTGAGCTCACTTATTCTTTGCTCTCTTCACCCCATCACAAACCATGATTCCAGAACAAAGGACCCCACAGCTGCACAAGTGACCAGGGAGCTCTACCTGGCTTCATGCAACTTGGGGCAAGGAGAGAACCACAATTTATGTGCTTCAGATCCCTACTAAGCAAACAACACTGCTCTCCTCCGCCTCCACCCAAAGTCAGCAGAAAACCAGACAAGGCTTAAGAGAAAAGATAAAAGGAATAATATCCCAAGGGAAACCCACAAGAGGAGACTTTATTTTTGTTTTTTAATTACGTGAAACACTGACTGAAAGAAGCCTGAAGTTGAGACTTTAAAGATCTCTGAACACAGCAAGAGCTCAACAGCAGGAGGATGAGGAAGCCTCAAACTCCTTTTGTAACTCAACCGCAACACCGCAGAAGAATGAGAGCTTGACAGACACCAAATCTGATCACACTGGCAAGGTGATCGGCTCCAAAGATACCAATATTGCAGGATTCTCCAGCAGAGTGCCTGAAAACTATAAAAAATTTCATGTTTTAAGGGAAGAACCAAGCAGCGAGGTCTCCTGGTGGAGACATTTGCTGCAAATTATTTAAAACCATCCAAGACAGCAAGAGCGAATGGACAGCAGCATGCAAAAAGCTGTTTTGCCTTAAGTTACAACATCTCATTTCTATCTAACACTTTAAGCAGAGATCCCTTCCCACAGCCCTGCATAATTCCCACTGGAAAACACTGGTGAAACACTTCTTATAGTGGCACAGAGAAGAGAAGCATACCCCTATGCCGCTGTTCTGGGCAATAACGATGCACAGAACAAGAGCTTGAGGTTTTACTTGGGTTTTTCTCTACACGTAGAGAGGTGTGACAAAAAAAAAAAAAAAAAAGAAAAAGAAAAACACAAGCCAGGGTTTCAAAACCAATCACTGTAATTCAAGGAAGTGTTAGATGAGTAAGACATGCCTGGTAATACTTGGGCAGGAAAATACCCGGTAAACATAGTGTGTAAGTCCTGCTGCCTGTGGCAAGCCCAAACTTAGATCCTTCCCCAGAATGTACCAGTTTGAGTCGATAATGGCAAAGAAAAACTTGACAGGAAAAAAAACCAACAAAAGTCATTAAATAAGAGTTTTATTTTGAAGGGATATGAGTTAAGAGTAACTAAAGGACTTTTCTTCCCCTGCAGTCTCGCTCCCCCTGCAAGCACCACACGTGTCTTCTCAGTGCAGACACACATCCATCCACATTTCACCCCCAGCAGAAGCCGAGGGGGATAAGTTCTTCCCTCACAAGGCTCACCTGAGCCCCAACTTTCCTCAACTCACCCTTTATTCATCTTGGTGATGTAGCTGCAGGGACTGACTAAGCACATAGCCATGACAAGGTACCCAGTCCCACAAAGGACCAGATGTGTTCCTCCCCCCCACTTACATCCACACATCCAAATATCTTCCTAACATTGCTTTCTACAGCACTATTTGAAGAGTAAAGCGTTAGCAACCTACACGTCATCGTGGCGAAAGCCTAAGGGCACTCTCCAGCCCATATTCACAGGAAAGGGCAGACTCTCCTCTGTCTCCATTCCCCTTCTGCACTGCTGCCCTTGACTTTCCTTCTCAGCTCATCTTCCTCCTCCTCCTCATGAAGCTGTTAAGTTATGGAAAAAACTCTGCCAGACCCTGAAGGATGAATGAGGGGCTCATCCCCACGTGGCATGCTCAGAGGTTTAATGCAGTAGACCAGTAGGTGTTGGCACCACTTGGTAATAAAGCAGAGATATTTGGTAGAGACCTTTACCTAAATGGGTTAAGACATCCCTGGAAGTTTTTAAGGCCAGGCTGGATGGGGCTCTGGGCAGCCTGATCTAGTCGAGGATGTCCCTGCCCATGGCAGGGGGTTGGAACTAGATGAGTTTTCAGGTCCCTTCCAACCCTGACAATCCTATGCTTCTATGAAACACCCACACGAAATCAACTTTTGCACTCTTTAATCTAGAAGACAGTCATGATCTAGGAAGATTTAAAACTACTCCAAAGTCCTTCACCTTGGTAAGCTTTTAGAAGATGATAAAGCATTGGCCAGAGCGGATGCTGAGAAGGAAGGTGCTTTTAAAATAGCCCAATCCAATGGCAAATTGCTGTTTTAGCCAAGAGAATCGGACCTGCAGGGACACAAAGCTTTGCCCTCCTTCTGTGTAGGCACAGCCAAGTCCACAGCAATCCCTACAGGACAAGATGCTTCTGTTAAAGAGCACTTATTAGAAGTTTTGAATGGTTAACATGCTCCTCCTGCCACAGAACTACACAGATGTGTAACTTGTCTCTCAGACCCCCCTACTAGAAGCATCTCTAAATTTCACCTCTGCTTCCCAGAAGGATTTCCCCAAGATTCCCATTTCTAGAATTAAGAGGCCTGGATTACCAAAACTAAATATCTTTGAATTTGAGGGCACAACACCAGCCCTTGGACATCTCCTGGGCTATCCTAGGGTGCACTCGTCACCCGGACATAAAGCTTTGCTCCACAGATCTATCTAAACGGTGTCCTCCATTGGTGTGACCACCCTGACATGCCAGCCCTCATCGGGGGCAGAAAACAAAACTTTCTAGTTTCACGGCTCAGCAGGTACTAAAGTATCAGATATGGGTTTCCTACACAAGGAGCTGGATATTCTGGGAAAGGCTGTGAGGAGGTTTTAAGTCACACCACGGTCACCCTGGTAAATGAAACCCCAGTATTAATTTTTACAGTTGCTGGCTGTGAAAATAGAAAAGCATCATAACTGAAAGGATAAAGCAGGAAGCATCCTCCTGCCTGCTCACTCCCAGGCAAACACCCACCCACACACGAGCTCAGGGATCAGACATGTCTGCTTCCAAAGCGTTCTCCTCGCCGCACTGAGCAATGCCCCCCCTCCAGCCTCCTCCAGAGCCCCCGTCGCAATAAAACCATAAAAAAAAAAAAAAAAAGAAAAGATCGCTGGCTGCAGTGGTGGCCACCACCAGAAACCTCCACTCCCCACCAAAAAATAAAATAAAATAAAAAAACCCAAAACGCTAAAGGTTGGATTTACCAGCAGCACACCAGGCTGTCCACTCGTCACAATTCAGCCCACCCGAGCAATTAATATCCGCGGGTGCCGCCCAGAGGTGAGCCGCAAGAGGAAGCGACCCTGTAAACCGAGAGCCGTGCAGCTGCTTCGTTAACGGGATAGTTATAGCTTTCCCTCCTCCAGCACACTTCTTGGGTTTCGCAGGTGAGCGGGACAAGCTGAGGAGCGGGGGAATGACGACACTTTGGGACTTGGCTGGAGGACAGAGAATTTAGGTTATTTGCCTTTTTTCTTTTTCTTTTTTTTCTTTTCTTTTTTGAGGTTTCATTTTGTCAGGCCCTCTAAAAAGAAAAAAAAAAGTGATTTAAGACTTGTAAGGATTTCTTGCGTAAGTGCTACACGGAGAGGAGCGAAAGCAAATACCTCCAGAGATCCCACAAGCTGGCAAAGGCCCAAGAATAGACCAGTAGAGGCTTTTCAGGAGACTTCTCCCGAAACATTTAAATAATTTAGAAAGCATTAACTCTTACTGACAGCTTTTCAGACAGCTCTTTCATCTGCAGGGTCCTACCAGAAACCTCATAACTCTTCATCCAAAAAATAAAAATTAAAAAAAATAGATAGTGCAATGGCCCGAAATCTTGGTCAGCGTTGAACGTGGATTCAAAAAGGTATCTGAAGTATTCTTCTTTGATGATATTATTCTTCTTTGATGATATTATTCTTCTTTGATGATATTATTCTTCTTTGCTGACATTATTTTTCTTTGCTTCCTTCTACAGGCAGGGCTTTCACAGGCCCCTTTCTACGGGCAGGTCTCCCAGAGCCCACCCCCTGCCACTTACCCGCAGCAGTACTGTGTACAACATGTCAAAATGGTTAAGAGACAGTCTATCAACATTTCACTTGCTTGGGGCTATTTAGAGGAACAGAGCTGTTCCCTGCAGTGGTTCAACTGTGTTAAATACTGTAAAAAAAAAAAAAAATCAGCAGTAGCAAGGTGTAAACTAGTAGACCTAAGAACTCCCCTTTGGGGTGAGGTGGAAGAGATGCTCCAGTATCATCCGTTTCACACTCCCATCATCCCCTCAAAGTAGTGGCATCACATTTTGGAACAAAGTGCGTTTCTATAACATTTTTATCCCCTATCTTACTGCCACTAGAAGTGAAAACAGCTGCTAAACAGGCAGCAGTGGCTGGGCAGCAAAGTTATTCCTGTACCCTTGCCCAGCACCACCCAACAGGCATGTGGATGGAACAGGTGACCCAGTTCTTATTCACACAAAACCAGAAATTAAGTCAAAATCAAGATCTATACTGGAAATACGGAAAGACATGGAAGTAGAATGGTGAACTCAGACACCTGATCACCAAAGACATACTCGGTTGCAGTTCCAGGTAAGACACAGAAAGAATAACCTCCCCCGGCCAGTAGAAGTCAACGCAGCCCAAAGGATACCCAAACAGCAGCCCAGCTGCCCTCCGCAGCCCCAACCATCCCCTCAGAAACAGAGATTTCAAATCACGACAGGCTTGGCAGGACAACACAAACCACCCCATTCAGTTTTCAACGTCCAGGAGCCACAAAACAGTGGCAGTGACGCCACTATCACCATGCATCGGGGAAAGAAGAGCCACAGCAGCACCAGATCTGATTTTGCTGTCCATCATCAACCCAAAACAAAAAAAATGCTCCGGTCCAGTGGCGAAATAATCGCAGACTGGCAACCCACGATAGAGTGTTATTCATTAGGACATTGTTTATGGTTCAGCTACATGGCTTCCATGGCTACAGCAACAGGGATGATGTTTACTTGCATTTTAGACAGATTACACATATGCATTTTGTTTTCAACTCAGCACAGCACTTTCCCCACATGAAACATCAGTATGTAAAGCCTCACAGACAGGCTGTTAGGATGTTTTTGCATTAGTTAGAGGAAAAAGCCAAACAGGTATGATCTCTTGTGCTCATCTCCCCATGCATATCTTTTGCCAACTAAATTCAAACCCTGAAAGACAGCAGGCTGGTTAATGTAAATCGAATTCAGAAAGGTATTCTCCATCCTTAAGCACAACAGCACGGAGACATCCGGCACAGGCAATAGATATCATCACTAAGCAGCAAAGCCCATTGAAAATACATCAAGTACTGCCTTACTTTAGTGAATTAAATAATTGAAGAGCTGGCAGAGCTGGTTTTCTAGATTTCCTGTCCAAACGCATCACCCAGCAACAGTAGTGCCTCAGTTTTGGGTTGGTTACTTTTTTTTTTTCTTTCTAGATCACAACTTACCTGCGCTACTTCTTTAATAGAGATGCTGTTCAAACAGCTCCGCTCCCCTCCTGGCTGCTCCCCACGAGCCACCACCACTTGGTTCCCAAACGCCCCTTTTTGCTCAGGTGGTCGAGGCGGCAATGGCTCGGGCTTTTCCGATGGCTCCAATATTAATCCATCCAGAGCATCTTTCTCCCTCACTTCCAATTGGCGAGCGGCGGATGGGTGGAGTGAGAGCGCCTGACCCATTAGCTCCCAGCTGGACACCTCCAACCCAGCTCTCCCAAGCGGAGCCCGCTTAACTTCAACGCCTGCCCAGCACCCCTCCGCATGCCACCGCCACCTCGGAGGAGCCAAATCCCAGCCTTGGCTCCTTGCCCCTTCCAGACACCCAAATCCCGCCTTAGAGTGATTTGCAGGGAGGTGGAGAAGAAAAAAAAGGAATAATTAAAGCAAACGGCTATTCAGAGCTGGTGGGTTTTGCTGGATGCTGTAAGGGAGAAAGCCTGTGTGCCTCCTTAAAAAAAAAAAAAAAAAAAAAAGCTTTGGATGTCATAAGGTTGAGAAATCCCAGACCTTCCACCAGGATTCAGTTCTGAAAAACAGAAACTTCTTTCTCTAAACAGCTAGTGTTTTCCATAGATGTATCCTGCATCAATACTGCTGTTCTGATTGACATGAATGTACTGAAAATGCTAAAAACAGACACTGAGGGCATTAACTGTGGCAAGAAGTTGCTGATAAATCACTCGTTAAATAGGATGCAAATACTCTATGGTTGAAGAGTAAGAGATGAGGAGAACACAGGAAAAGAAATCTGCTATTCGTTCTAGTGACCCTAACTATACCTACAGTTTCAAAGAGAAAATGCTTTAAGAATTACAGGAATACAAGTAGGTGAGGATTAATAGCAAAGACTGCAGGCTGTGTTATTGTGTCCCACTCAAGCTCCTTCTTATCAGCCTATCTCTAACTATTGATCTTTCAAGGCTCTTTTTAATTTCCATACATTGCAAGAAGATAGGTAAGGCTCCCACATAAATTCCCAGGTAAAGGTACATCCATTAACGGAATATGTATGGAGACAAGAACTTGAGATCCTCTGCCTGTCCTTCCTAGACTGCTTCATGATCAATAACTACCTTGATAAGATTCCAAAGATAACACATTAGCATTAAAGGT